GGAGGGACGTCCTTGTCCTTGTCCCCGTCCTCTCACCTTCTTCAGCTTCTTGGTTTTGATCTCCACCTCCTGCTGCAGGGAGGTGAAGGTCTCCCGCAGCTCCATGGTCTCCTCGTCCCGCAGCAGCACCTCCTGCTGCATCTCCCGCTCCCGGCGTTTCTGCGGCGCAGGGGACACGGTTGGAGCCGGGAGGGGACATGGCCCCCGGCCCCCGTGACCCCCGAGTGACCCCTGTCACCCCCGAGTGACCCCTGTCACCCCCCCCGCCGGTACCTGCTCCGCGATCTCCTGCCGCCGCAGCTCCAGCATCTTCTGCTGCTCGTTGGTGTGGTCCACGATGGTCCTGCCCCCGATGAGCAGCTTGCTCTCCATCGCCTGGGGAGGGGGCAGAGGGGAGGGCAGAGCGTGTTGTCACCCTCTCCCACCCCACAGGGTTTGCCTCTGGCCACCCTCACTGGGAGGTCACTCCCATCCCTGGTCCCCGTCCTCATCCCTGCTTTGGGGAAGGCTGAAGGTCTTCGTGTGGCACCCGCTCCAGTGTCCAGCTGATGGGGAGGGGGCTGTGCAGGATTGGATTGGATATTGGGAACAATTCCTTCATGGAATGTCCAGCCCTGGCACAGCTGCCCCACCCCTGGAGGGATTTAAAGGGCGTGTGGACGTGGCACTCGGGTCAGTGGTGGCCTTGGCGTGCGAGGCGATGGTTGGACTCCATGGTCTTGGAGGGCTTTTCCCACCTAAAGAATTCCATGATCCTAAGGACACCCACCAGCCCGGGGCCGGTTCGGCTCCACGGGCAGGGCTGGGGGGTTGTGGGGGTGTGGGTGATGTTCCCCCTCTGCTGGATCCCAGCCCAGCCCACTCCAGTCCCACTCCAGTCCCACTTCCTTCCGCACAGCTGCCAACCCACGGGATTCCATGGATGGGCAGCAGCTCCGGCAGCGGGGCCCGGCCTCCACCCCCTCCTTCCACCAGCTGTGACACACAGACAGACACACAGACAGACACACAGACAGAGACAGCTTGTGCACACACACAGACACACACACACTGACACACAGACACACAGACAGACACACAGAGACAGACACACACACACACACAGACACACAGACACTGACACACAGACAGACACACAGAGACAGCTTGTGCACACACACAAACACACATACACACTGACACACAGACACAGAGACACAGACATACAGATGCACACAGACACACACACAGACACACACACAGACACACACACAGAGACACAGACCCACACAGCTTGTGTACACACACACACACAGACAGACACACACACAGACCCCCCCCACACAGACCCCCACAGACACACTCACAGACACACACACACACAGACCCCCCCACACACAGACACACACATAGCCTGTACACACACACACAGACCCCCCCACACAGACCCCCACAGACACACACA